ATCACATTTTTTCTTCAATGTGATACAATTTATTAACTGAACTTATTTATTCTCTAACAGAAACGAAAGTGAAAAGATCATTTGGATTGTTCAGATCGTTCTAGCTGCCAGGAAGTGGATGAAAAAGTAACCGTTACAACTTAAATGTTAGTTTTTTAATTTACGGAGTGATTTGTATGTTACGCTTTAGCAGTCTTACTGCCCAGTGAAATATGCATCAACTTATACACGCATTTCCACTTCCACACGCGTGCTCCTCTTCAACATAAATTATCCACTCATTCGCAGTTGGTGCTCCTCGTCTGTAAGGAAGTTTTCCTTTTAAACTAATAAGACCAGTTTTGTGAGTATCTGTGATTGAATGTTTCGTTTTGCCTGTTTAATAGTTTGGTTGGTTGGTTGGTTGTTTTTTTTTATTGGACAGTGTAAATCATTTGAAAAATAAAAAATACTTAGATACTTAGATTATTTCAAAATTTTAAATTATTAAAAAAAACTTTGGTACTCTTTCTGGTTAAGATAGTTAAATTAGTTAGTTTGCAAAAAATAACACACACGCTTTTGTTTGTTTGTGTGTGTGTAAATATATATATATATATATATATATATATATATATATATATATATATATATGTTGGTAATAGACCATAATTTTTACAATATTCTATAAATTCTACCGAATGTTTGGCGTTAATATGTTTGTAGTTCGTTTTTTAGTGAGAAAAATTGAAAAAACGAACTACAACCACACTAACGCCAAACATTCGGTAGAATTTATAGAATACTGTAAATATATATATAATATATATATATATATATATATATATATATATAATATATATATATATATAAATATATATATATATATATATATATATATTTGTTGAAAAAAGTTTCCTTCTTGCTTTTGTTAAAGAATTTTGTTAAAAAAAGTTTACTTTGGAAAAAATTTTGGAAAAAATATATATATGTATATATATATTGATGAAAATCCGAGCATATTCGGCGTTAGTTACCTTCCTGTATGTTCTTTTTTGGTTTTAAGCTCATGTTCCAGTCGATCATCGTGGTCGTTCCCGATGTTGCTTCCAGTTCGAGGTTTTTTAATAAATATTGAATTAAGACCGTCAGAAATGCAATTATTGATGAACATCACAGCATGTTCGACGTTAGCTACCTTCCTGTTTGATTATATATATATATATATATATATATATATATATATATATATATATATATATATATTTTACAATATTCTATAAATTCTACCGAATGTTTGGCGTTAATATGTTTAGTTCGTTTTTTTAATTTTTCTCACAAATATTATTTGCAGCATGAATTCGGAAAATAAGTTTATTTTGAATTTTAATAAACTAAACGTTCACCAAAAAACTTTAGTGAGAAAAATTGAAAAGACGAACTACAAACATATTAACGCCAAACATTCGGTAGAATTTATAAACTCAACTCAGACTTTGTAACGGAACTAACTAAAAGGATGTGATGTAATGTGTATAAGCAAATTTTTTGAGAAGTAAAATTAATATTTATTTGTGTTTTATAACATATTAACATACACACATGTCTAATCTACGCCACACGCCACTTTTCTATGCTCCACCAGCCAGAATTAAAGTACTCTGCATGAGTTTGAAACACACCGGCCCAGGAATATGGGAGACGATTCCACAAGAAATTAAAGATTGTAACACTTTGCATCTTTTTAAAAATAAACTGAAAAATTTTTTAATTACGAAAAGTTCTGTTTTTAAAGGATAATAATGTATATGTATATATATATGTATATAAGTGTGTATATATTTTATTAACATTGATACATTTTTTCCTATTGACAATTTTATTTTATTTTTATTCTAATTTATTCTCGTTGCGTATC